ACTTTTCTGACAGTACAGCCATGTCATTTACCCCCTGCTGATTTCTGTTTTGAGGAAAACTCAGTTGGGAACTATTCCTCCATAATATACTTTGTGTTGCAATTCACTTTTCCATTGTCTTCTCTGTCCATCTTTTTGATGACTTGCCCTGAGTCCTGGAGAGGCCAGGTGCCTGCCGGTAGAAACAGGAATTGCTCCTATTAAGCGTGGTGCTCATAAACCTGAGATACATCAATGGAGCAGACATCCATCATCTAGCCGTCTTATCAAGATATTTCCCTGATGGCAGCATATGGCTAGAAGATGGAAATCATTTATTTTACGACCATGGCACCCACTCACAGGGTTGCTCTGTAGTCTACCTTTAAAGAACCCTTTAAAAAGGCCAGTAAAAGACAAAAATACCACCAATCTTCATCTACCTTCCAAAGTGCTGATTAGAGAACCGTCTCCTTCATAATCCAAACCATTTTAGTTGAAATGGAGCAGAGAACGTCTCACTACTTTTTAAATATATTTGTAGTTAACTGGGATTTAATAATCAAGAATAGACTGAACTTTTTTGAAGTTTATTTCCTGGCCTAAAAAAGCCCAGTCGACAGCATACATCACATTTTCATTTTTGGGTGAACTATCCCTTTAATGTTGATTACCACAAAAAAATAAAATAAAATACTACAGTACAATGAAAGTGGATGGGGCCAATGTAAAAATGTTAAAATACTCACTGTTTCCACATTATAGCAACAAGCCAAACAATTTCCACGTTAACATGGACTTAAAAATCATAATTTGTGTTCTACTGAAGAAACAAAGTCACCTACATCTTGGATGCCCTGGGGGTAAGCAGATAAACATCACATTTTCATTTTTGGGTGAACTATCCCTTTAATGTTGATTACCACAAAAAAATAAAATAAAATACTACAGTACGATGAAATTGGATGGGGCCAATGTAAAAATGTTAAAATACTCACTGTTTCCACATTATAGCAACAAGACAAACAATTTCCACGTTAACATGATTTTAGTGTGAAAATCACTTACTAACCTTTTCTGTGTAAAGTTACCCTACCGCTCAAAAGTTTGGGGTCAGTAAGAGGTTTTTTTTTTGTTTTTTTTCAGTTTTTAGCACTTCTGTTCAGCAAGGACGTATTAAATTGGTCAAAGGACAGTAAAGACATTTTACATATGACATTGTTACAAAGGTTTTCTTTCAAATAAATGCTGTAACTTTCTATTCATCAAAGAATCTTGAAAAATGTATCATGGTTTCCACAAAAATATTACGCATTAAATGTTTAATTAAATATTAAAATGTAACTTTTTTTAACATTGATAATAATAAGAAATGTTTCTTATTGGCATTAATATGCACCAAATCAATCATGATTTCTGAAGCATCATGTGACACTGAAGACTGGAGAAATGGCTGCTGAAAATGTAGCTTTGCATCACAGAAATAAATTACATTTTAAAATATATTTGAATAGAAAACAGTTATTTTAAAATTTTAATAATATTTCATAATATTACAGTTTTACTGTATATCCTACTGTAAGAGACTTCTTTCAAAAACATTAAAAAATCTTACAAACTCCAAAGTTTTGAACGGTAGCGTATATCCAATTTTACAGCTCCGTCATCATGAAACTGTAATGCCATAAACCATAAATGACAGTAAAAATGAATAAATGTGAATTAATGTGTTTTTTATTTTATTTATGCTTTTAAATCATCTAAAAACTGGCCCCATTTACATCCATTGTGCCTTTGAAAGGCACATACTTCCAAAGTGCCTTTTATAACCTCCATTAAAAAAACAAAACAAAACAAAAAAAACAAGAGACCATTTTATGTATTTGTATTTTATTTATTTATTTTTGTGCTGAAATCAACATTTTGCCACAGCTGCTGTCAACTGAGCTTAACTTGCATTGAACCCAGAATATTACTTCAAGACAGTAAAGACACACAATTTCATACCTTGTTTAGCTGTTTGAACTTAAATATTTAACAAGTCAAGGGCTCCTCAATAAAAGTCGTATAATGCTCTCAGAGATTGAATTTTTGATAAGAATCACCTACTCTGGGAAATGGAAATGGGGCCATTGTGTGATGACTCTTCACACCAATGCAGCTGCATGCATTTAAGCTGTCAAGAAACCTGTTACAGTACCAAGCACTCACTCTCCCTTCTTCATCACCATCCCCTCCCTCCTCAGCAATACAGTCATAACCGCTCAGCCATCTCACAGCGTTTACTCTCACTGCCAAACATCCCACCTTTCAGCTACTGAAAGCCTCATATGTGGCTTTTTAAAGTAACCTCTGCCACCGAGAGCTCATTCTTCTCTCCCTTTCCTGTTCAGTGCCACTCTAGGAAACATCCATTAAATGCATCAATACAATCTGAGAAATGGAGGCTCTGCCACCGAGAGCTCATTCTTCTCTCCCTTTCCTGTTCAGTGCCACTCTAGGAAACATCCATTAAATGCATCAATACAATCTGAGAGAAATGGAGCCTGTTGAAAGGGCTGAGGCGTAAGATATCAACTAATAAATAGGCCTATGTTCGTCTTCTGTTTGTTTGGACGTGTGGACTTGGCATAGAAACTTTTAAGGGGTTTTTAGTGATACGCAAATGAAGCCACATGCATATTATCAACAACTAGAAGCTGACACTTTCACCAAGCACCTGAGAAAAACAAGCATGGTGACATTTGCAACCATCCCCCTTTTAGTTTTACACGTCTCATGCTGTGAGAACAGGCTAACACTTGCTAACATTTGATATTAATCAGTCTACGGTGCATTGAGTCTCTGCCACCCACAAGAATTTAGCTGAAGAGCTCCTGAGTCGTAACCCTGAGTCAGTTAAATGCCATATGGGCTCTTGGTTACAGGAGAAATGTAAAGATCTGAATTATTCATAATCCTTCAAACACCTTAGAAGTGCCTAGGTGACTCCATCAAAGGTATCTGGGTACCAGAGTCCCAATGGGTATTTCACAGCCCCTCTGATCTTTCAACAGCAACATCAAAAAACATATACACAGAATCTAGACGACGTACCATAGAATTATATATGGATTTTGCTGAAGCTGAACGACTGAAGTGTATTGAGACTTGCAAGATGTTTCAGTAATATGAGTATATGTAATATGCTCACAGATTTAAGGGTATTACAGATTCCAAATGCATTAGCTCTGACAAGAACCATGGTGACTGGTACAAGGTAATCCATTCTAACTTAAAGCAGACACATTTCAGAAGGTAAAATGAAATAATATTAATAATAAAAATGCTCTTTGAATGTTTACCTGGATATAAACTATAAACTATATATAAAGTAAAAAATATAAAAGATTGTATGTACAGTATTTTTGTAGCTTAAACTGTAGAGCATGGCGTTAGCAGTGGCAAGGGAATGCGTTTGATTCCCAGGGAATGCCTGAAGTAATGAAATGTAGCCTATACCTTGAAAGCAACTTACAGTAGGTCTTTTTGGATAAAAGTGTTCGCCAAATGCATAAATGTAAATATTGCTAAGTACCTACAGTATATAAGAGTCTAACACTACTATTTGTTTCCAGTTTTAACCCTGTAAAGCCTACTGTATCAAGTTTGATACCCAAATTTCTAAGGCCTCTAAAATATCAACATGATCTAAACTTTGCTTTAAGGGTATTACAGATTCCAAATGCATTAGCTCTGACAAGAACCATGGTGACTGGTACAAGGTAATCCATTCTAACTTAAAGCAGACACATTTCAGAAGGTAAAATGAAATAATATTAATAATAAAAATGCTCTTTGAATGTTTACCTGGATATAAACTATAAACTATATATAAAGTAAAAAATATAAAAGATTGTATGTACAGTATTTTTGTAGCTTAAACTGTAGAGCATGGCGTTAGCAGTGGCAAGGGAATGCGTTTGATTCCCAGGGAATGCCTGAAGTAATGAAATGTAGCCTATACCTTGAAAGCAACTTACAGTAGGTCTTTTTGGATAAAAGTGTTCGCCAAATGCATAAATGTAAATATTGCTAAGTACCTACAGTATATTAGAGTCTAACACTACTATTTGTTTCCAGTTTTAACCCTGTAAAGCCTACTGTATCAAGTTTGATACCCACATTTCTAAGGCCTCTAAAATATCAACATGATCAAAACTTTGCCAAAAACATGTATATATCTATTACATGTTACTTCATTGTTGTGTGATAGAAAATGTATATTTTTTTAAGCAAGTAAAAGGCCTTTTAGTATCATTCTAAAATGTCAGTGTCTGTTTGTTGTAAATTTATAAAGTAAATGTAACAATACATTTTATTTTTTTTTAGCAATCTATCAAGATGAAAACTGGACTAATTACTACTGGACTAATTCAACTTAGGTTGACTTGATTATCCATAGATAATTTGTAGAAAAATCATGTTAAAATGTATGATACATCACTGTATTGCATTGCATTATATTTTTGCCCCCCACAATAATAAAAAAAAAACAGAGCTTTGATCATAAAACTAAGTATTTAAATATCATCTTACTAAGACATATTATAATAAGATATAGATTGACAACTGATATTTACATGCATTTTATACACAGTTAAAAGTCAGCTATACTGACCATTGATTTACTTTACAAGCTATCAGAATCTCATCTTACTTTTTAGCCATACAAATAACAACATCTGCATCAAATTTCATATGTTTGCTCACTTTGGGCCTCCGTCAGTTTTCCTTCTAGAGTGTGAGCTCCATATACGCCTATATCATACTATATGAGCCATAAAAGCCTGATGTATCATATATTATACTGAACAAAAAACACATGCTTTAACACTCAAATCTTTTTAGATTTTATCACAAATAAAAAAAAAAGATAAATAAATAAATACTTTTTTATATTGTTAGTCATTTTTATCATGTAATTTTTTGCACTAGATAGAAACAACTTTGTTGGGAAGATTTAAACCATTTCAACTCACCACATTGAGTTTGAGCTCCATGTTGAGGACACCTCCACTGTCCAGCACCGGCATTAGGTTGATGGCAAATATCGCTGCCCCGTCTGGAGGGATGGAGATGTTGGGTCCAAAAAAGATGTAGAAATGAACTGAAAATGTGTCCAGTTCATTCCGCAGCGTTGGCCGGATGGGCCAGCATTTATTTGTGTCTGCCATGGGTGCTAAGTAAGTGATGCTTTCTTCAGCAGTTAACAGAGATCCTTGATCCGAAGGGTTCTGTGGCACGTTAGGCAGGCTGGCAGCCGGCAGGGTATCTGACAGAGAGAACCCCATCGCAGTGCCAAATGACTGGGGCATGTTCATGGCTGAGGAGCCCTTGGAGACGCTGGGCTTGGAACAGTCTGCAGAGAAAAGATCAAAGGAGGTGTTTAAAATTGGGACGGCACACATTTTCCACTGAGGAACTTGAAGGTGACGCTAGTTACGAGAGATGTGAAATAAGAATGAAATAAAGATGTATTGAATTCTGACGAATCCCTTGACTGACGCTGACAGCTCAAACTCTCCACTCAGGTTACTCTGAGGCTAAAAGCATCTTCCTGTCATTCCCGTCCCTTTGTGCTAGATCAAACTAGCATTTCAGCAGAGACATACTTTTTTCAGTTCCATGCATATGCTTAGATGTCTGCGGTGAGATGACAGGCCAAATGATTGCTGAGTGTCTATGTAGTCTGAAATGATCTAAGTGGGGTGTATGTTGTTTTGTGTAGGACCAAAAAAAGGCCAAGGGAATGTCCGTTTCATCATATTTCCTTTTATAGGTCTCTCAGCTCTACACATATAACACACACACACACACACACACACACACACACACACAGACACTTTAAACCCTTGTATTTGGAGTTTAAAGTCTTCATTCAAATAATGACAGATTTTTTGCATTACAAAAACAGTGTGTCCCATAACACATAAAAACGAGGTCATGATTGTTCTTAACATCTTTTAATTGCGGGCTTTGTCATAACATGGTACGTTGTAAATTAGACAGGATTTTGGAACACATTTAAATGTGAATTGATTAAATGTAAATTTGCAAAACAATGCTGCGGGATTGAGATAACTAATTGGCACTGATGAGGACAATAAGGAAATTCTCCACACATTTCACTGTTTCCTGATTACCTCAGGGTGTGAACGTTCAGTTATGCTACTGGGGACTCGAGAATCTTACAGTCATATTTCTCTTCGCACCCACAATTATTCCAAAATGCAGTGAATCAGGTGGAAATGGTTCATTATTGAAATGCCAAGTCGCTTTCCCCCCACAGCTCTGTTTGCTGTGTTGTCGCTTACATATCTTGCTCTCTCACTTCTCTTTCTGGTTCATTTTACATCCAGCCATTGAGCCAGTGATGAGGGAATGTTTACAAAAGTTACACCATGATTTTAGATTAAAATTACGTTTTTTTTTTCCCACATCCAGAATCCAAAGACAGTTCTGATGAGAAAGCTCATCAGACTCAAAAGCGGATTATTATTACTGCGGGTGGATGGGGTAATTAAATGTCAGTCACTGAAGAGCTCTACCTGGATTCTGGCGACCTAAATGTTTTATGTAGCACCGCATCACATGAGAGCAGAATGTACATCACTGATTTTCATTTTAATGAATGATCACAATCTATGGAACAATTATTGAACATGAATCAACAATAATTAGAACTAAGAGTTGAGATTCAAATGCTATATACGTCACAAAAAAATGATTAAATATATACTACCATTCAAAAGTTTGTGGTCAATAATTTATTAATTTTTAATTAATAAGGACTGAATTGATTAAAAGTGACAATAAAGACCTTTATAATGTTCCAAAAGATTTCTAAAATACTTTCTATTTATCAAAGAATTCTGAAAAAAAATATATCAGAGTTTCCAGAGAAAAAAATATTAAGCAGCACTGTTTTCTACATTGATAATAATAAGAAATGTTTTTTGAGCACCAAATCAGCATATTAGAATGATTTCTGAAGGATCATGTGACACTGACGACTGGAGTAATGGCTGTTAAAAATTCAGCTTAGTCATTAATACATAACATTTTAAAATATATTCACAGAAATATATTACACAGAAAATTTTAGTTAAAATTGTATTAATATTCATAACCTCAAACGTTTGCACGCTAGTGTATACACACACACATGCAATACTGTTCAAAAATAAATTGTCATTGAAGGGTGAAATTAGCAAAAACATCTCAACAAAACCTGGCATGCCTGAGTCTTGATTAGTACACGAATCCTGCAGCATTAATAAGCCCTCATAGTCTGATCATATCAACCTTTTTTGCTCCTCTGTAATTACATCTATTTTGCCATAAAATGCCATTATAATTCTTGCTGACAAAAGCAATGATGGACAAAAGATCACAGTTAGTGAGCAAAGGGCTCACACTTGAACATGCCATCGGGTTCAGGATGAGGATGTGTCATCGTGTTCTATTCAGCACCTGTTTGGCCACAGGCCCCACAGCTGAAGGTTAGCTGTATACGTACAGCTCAGGCTATGAAACATGAATCCCTGACTCATTCTCTAACTTACCATTGTCTACATAAATATAGATGTGGAACAATATAAAGAGAAAGTGTCAAGAGATGGTTACCTAGCAACCAAACATTCAATAAGCTCATAACAACGTCAAAGTAACTTTCCTGGCAAGAGTTTCACATGAAAATATATAACTCTATGTATACTCAGTGTTGGGGGTAACTCATTACAAGTAATGCGAGTTACGTAATCAGATTACTGTTTTCACGTAACTAGTAAAGTAACACATTTCTTTTTTAATTTACAAGAAAATATCTGAGTTACTTTTTCAAAAAAGTAATG